TTTAGTCATATTGGTATGGAAGCATCCTCAGATAGTGTAGATTCAAGTTTGTTCAAATGATGACCCCTGGGATAGGGAGGAGCCACAATGGGGGATCAAATTTTTACAAAGGAATATATGAGAAAAAATTTTAAAAATCTTTTCAAGTACAACAAAGCCATTTGTTATTTTGACATGGAAGCATCATCAGGTAGTTTAAAATTCAAGCCCCCCCCCCCCCCCCCCCCCCAGTAATCTTTTCAATACTGATTTGTGCTTTTGCCTAGCCAATGTGTTCAGGTGAGCGATGTGGCCCATGGGCCTCTTGTTTTGATTCATGATGTGATCAGTCAAGTGGCTTGCGTGATAATTTTCATAAATGCCGAGGCATTTATGCATAAAATTATCACGCAAGCCAATCGATTGATCATCGTCATGAATCCAAAAAATCTGACAGTTATTCCTTATATTTACATTGATTCTGCAAATGCACGTGCAAATAGCCCAGCTTCTGTCTCTATTTGTCCCGCCCCGCACGTGATTTTTTTTAACCACGCCTATCAATGAACCAGTAGATTTATGTAGAAATAAAGTATTTTTACAATTCATAATTTTATCTTGGACAAAGACATTGGAAATGTAAATATACATGTAAAATATACGATGTTTATTACCATGATACGATGAAATAAAGGATATAGTTTTAAGTTTTTATGTGCTGAAAATTATGTATGATTGTATTTGCTGCTGTTATATAGCATTGCTGATGTATATATCAGTAATATGAACAAGATGTAAATTGTAGACATTGACTCTCGCGTTAATACTATATAAAGCTGTCAAACAAACTATCATCTAAACTAGCTTAATTTATAGTCAATTCATAAGAACATTGTGATTATAAAACACAATATATGAAATTTTAAAGCATTCAGATCTCCATTACAACTTTTAAAATAAGGCATTTGCAACAATATATATTTGTTGGTTTAGAAATAAGGTGCCTTATCAGAAGAATTTAAGTGATACTTTATACCGTTTTTTGATAGGCAGTGTACAGTTTTTTATGGCTCCTGTACAGTTTTGTGGTCTTTGACTTATCACATGTATGCACACACACAGTTAAGAGTAAAGAATTGTAAATGTTTGCAGCTATGTACATGTGTAAGTGCACATTGAAATTAATACTTATAGTGCATTGTATATGCAACATTACCATACATGTACATGTATTTTGAAATGGGTTTCATAACAGGAGACTTATTTTTATGCTATTAGAACTGTTTTTATAAGTCATCTGAGTATCATTATTACTGTTTAGTTAGGTAATAATGTGCTAAGTCATTTTGATATGATTGAGCATTTCTATTGGAATGTGAAATTTAGATGATCACCACAGAGAGAAATGAACAGATCATATTTGATTTATTTTATTTCTGTTTTCAGTTATTACCAGTACTTTCAAAAGCTGTAGTCCAAATTAAAACTTTAATAGCTGCCAGTCAGAGTGAAGTTGCCCCTAGCAACGGTTCCAGCGAGCCAACCACATACTCAGCTAGTTTTACAGAGCAATCTAAAAAGAGGAGTAAACCCAGAAAAACATGATGTCTTAAGAGCAATAAAGATACATGATGTAATAATTATATTTATCACATGTTTACTCCTTTACAAAGTGGATATAGCTCATATGATATTGTTTTCATATCAACAATATTGTGACATCACAATGGTTTTTGCGTAAAAGTGATAAAGTCAATTGATTCAAGTAGATTCACATATAAAACAGTGTAAAACGTGATAAAAAGATTCTCCCATTGGTTTGTGGTTAGATATGCTCAGGCATAGAAAACACACAACTCATTGGATAAAATTCATATCCAACCACAAACCATGGAGATCCTATATACAGATTTTTGAAGACAACATTTATGGTTTGAATATGATCTTATAATGAATTTGATACTTGAAAAATTTCATAAAATTTTAGATCTAAAGCAATAATATTCAAATGGAAACTACAGTATAAGTAGAATGGGTTTTTTTTATGTTCTCTGGATATCTGACTACAAAATACATTAAATTATTATGATAAAAGACAAAGAGAAATTCAGCATACATGTATATTGTTTATACAGCGGATTAATGTTTTGTGTATTTAGACTTTTTTTATTTGTCACAGCTTTACTGTGATTCAACAATGCTAGTGTGATTTTAGGAGTATGTTTGATTGAGCATGAGTATGTGCAATAAAGTTACTATTCATGAAAATCGTGTTTATGTAATTCTAAGTATGTTGTTATTTTTGTGAGAGGAAAACAAAAACACTGATTTTTTAAAATATTTTTTGTGTAGTCCTGTATAGTTTTAAAAGCAATTTTTGTTATAATTTATGTTGGTGCAAAAACTAAATGTTGTGATCATGTTAATTACCTAATGGAAAGACTTTGATGATTTAAACACATTCTGTTTGCTCTGGTAATCTTAGAGGCAATGTCTTATACTAGTAAGTATAACAAATTTGCGTGTAACTTAAGAAGATAGTTTTGGGAAATCTGAGTTTTACCCAAATATTTTAAGATGTGTCAATAATATGTTACCTAGTTATAAATTAAGAATGTTTGTAGATTGCGTAAGAGAATTTGGAGTGATTTGTATAGTGTAATTCACAAAATCAATGAATGTAGGATATTTTGGGGGAGTTCAATTGAAGTTGTTTGTTATCAACATTAAAACAGGATTCAAGATGAAAAAAATCTGTTGTATCAGTGAGTAGTTCTTTATATAGCAGAGCAAGGTGTACACAGAGTACCTGTATCATGTCAGTGTTTAAGTCATGTGTATAAGTTCTTTTTTGTACCAAGATTGTGAACCAAATGCTTGACTTTAATGTGTAATTGAATGGATTTGTACAGTGTGCTCTAATGTATGAATGTAACTTCTTGTTGATCTCAAATAACCTTGTAAGTTATCTGAATACATGTACATGTATTTGTATATTAGAAAAAAAATATTTATACAATAAACTACAATGATTTATTTTTAATCTCTACATGCAAAATGAATTTTTTTAGAAAATGAGAATTAGAAAATCTGCTATTTCGAATCATACACATCACTTTTTGAGAAACTTATAAATACATTTTCACCTTGAACCTTAAACCACATCACTTCCTTTTGCTGAATATTATTTCAGAGTCCATTGTCAGCAAACCCCCTCAAATTATTTGAGGGTTATATCTATTCTTATAGTTTTCCAGCCTATTTTTCAAAACAATTGAGTAAACTGACAGCCCATCAGGCACCTCCTGTTTGACACAGTTTTTCTTACAGAACTTGATAATGGAATATTAAATCATTTTCTGCAAAACACCAACAGTCTTTTTATTTGTTTCAGCACTTTTACAAGTGTTGTTTGATTGGAACTCCATAATATTCCCAACACTTCCTCAACAAGTCATCATCTGATATATCATGATAAATGTCCAACTTTTTATCGAAATTCTGTAGTTTTCTTCTGCTTCCAGGACAAAAGTATTCAAAATACTATCTGATCCTCTCTAAATTTACTTTAGGTTTAAAAAATTCTTCATCTGATTATATGACTGCTCAGTACAATGGTAAGGTTTGAAATAACATTAGCTCTAATTTCATGCTCACTAGTCCATGAATAAAAGGGGTGTTCGGTTAGGCTATTGTATTGTGTTGCTGTTGGATACATAAATGGGCTAGATCTTTTATTATAGCAAAGTTGGATGTTTCTCGGAGGTCCAAAGTGAGGAATTTTTCTTAAGTAAGTTAAAAAAAAAGATTGAAAGTGTTGACTAGTTCAGAGAAAACACACCCCCCCTCCTTTGGCCCTTGGAGGGAATGTTTTATCTAAACTATTTAACACCATCATGCTGTTAATCCATTACTTATTCATTCTTTCCTTGACAAACTCTTTATACCCCCCGCAAACGAAGTTTAGGGGGGTATATTGGAATCAGCTTGTCCATCTGTCTGTAGACGAGATTTTGTCCGGACCATTTCTTGGAAACTGTTGCAAGGATTTGTCTGAAAATTTGTACACTTATTCTTTGCCATATGAAGGTGTGCACCTGGTATTATCATCATGATTGGATAATTTTTTTTGCATTTTACAGGTGTTTTTTTTTCATTTTTATTATTATGTGGTTTTGTCCAGATCTGTTCCCAGAGACTATTGCATAGATTTGTATGAAAATCTGTACACTTATTATTTACCATATGAAGATGTGCACCTGGTATTTTCAACATTATTTGATAATTTTTCTGCATTTTACAGGTGTTCTTTTTTTTCATTTTTATTGACTTAGTCATTTCGGGTTCATGTCTAAGGTTTGAGACATAGAATCTAGAACATCTGTACAAAAATGTGAACTAAAGCTTAAAACATATACTCATTAGAATTAAAAAAAAATCACAAAATATTAAAAACAGTTTTTACATTACACAGCAGATAGTGTAAATCCATTTGTCCCTTGGGAGTAATGAGTGGACATGCATCCAGTTAAAGATTAATTAATGAGTTCATTGTGGGAAGCTGTTAGGGCATCTCTGATCAAGCAGGTCTTATCTATATCTCCTGGGAATTGGGCAGAAAGAAATAAAGATCTCTGTTGACTAAGTCTCTTAATTGTAATTTATGTCTGTCAAAATGCATAATTACTGGAACCAGCCTTTTATTTTTAAAATGAGTTTGATATAAAGGTATTAAGATCAATTTGATTTTGTATAATTAATTATGATATTTTTTTTTTCAACAATCAATTTGCAGAGTGTCATTTCTCACAAAGATGACAGATAGTTGCAAACTATTTTTTCAATGTAATAAAAAACACTGTAATTACTAGTATTGATGTTTTATTAGGCTGCACCTTAGTTTCATTCATTAAAAAAATATAATTAGAAATTAAATTTTCACTCTAAATGTTTAAGCAAATTGTGAACACCTCTCACATCTAGAAAAAATTAGTGATTTGGTACCTTCTCTGAAAAACCCAGCGGGGGGTATTTGTCCCTTTTGGACAGTTCTAGTTGTAATCTATTTCAATCTTTTTGCAGAAGAAACCACTTTGACATGATGCAAGGAACAATCCTTTAAAGTTTCAAAAAGAATAAAATTGAAAAATTTGTATATTTTGTCTTTTTCTTTGGCAACATTAGTTTGATTTTTTTTTATGCCATAAAAAACATTACAGTGGGACTTGGAACCATTATCAAATTCTATTTTTACATTTTTTTTTATTCTTAAAATTATTTGAAAGTCTTCTACTTCCTATATAGTGCATATAAATTCTATATATTGAAATATATCAGTTATTGGGATGAATACAGATGTGTTCACAAACAGGTGAAAAACTATGACCTTTGTTCAGTAGTTTGAAGTGTCCCTCACCTGAAGTATTTGAAAGAAGCTGAAATAGATGAGACCCAAATTATTGAGATTTATAATCACTTAAGGACAAATGATACAAACAATTTTTTTCTTTGGAGGAGACTTAAATATCATGTCACAGTTTTAGAAAAGTGGATAATTCTTTGAATATTTCTCCTTAGACTTGGAGAATGAAATACCTTCCATATTTCCCCCAAAAAGTACACAACTAGAGTAATCATGGTAAAATTGTTTAATCTTCATTCCTTTACCCTCTTTTTTTTCTTCAAAAATGTTTCTAAAGGAGCACAGAGTGAACTGATATAACATTTACTCAATAACATGTTGTATTTGACATTCCTATCCATAATTTTTTTTACCAATTGTCCCTTACTTCTGACCTTATGAAGCTCATTTCTATAAATTAAAAGGTAATCAGTTCAAATTCATAGCCTTGACCCTTCAACTTTGATCTCAGATCGAAGAACTTAACATTTTAGAAGTCTTTCACTTGTGGTGGTCAGACAGGTTTGATCGTCGGTTGTGAGTTGGTAGAGCACCTGACTTGAGATTCAGGGGCCCAGGTTCAAATCCCAGTCTGTTCGATTGCATCTTTCTCCTCTCCTGTTACACACTCAATATATACAGACTGATTTGATGTTTGTAACATATGTGATCTTTGACTCAAATATCTGTAGATGCCTTCATCTGCCCCTGAAATAAATACATGTATAAAAGCTATGATTTAATAATTTAAGTACTTGAGGGTATCAGATTGAAGTGTTGACAACAAGCAGACGAACAAATGGACAAGGTGATTACAAAAGGACATCTGCATTTTGGTATGGGCCCTAATAAGTGGTGTAACAAATGATTGCATAATGTGATATATGTATCATGATGATATACTTTTATGTGTGTAATGAGACAACATATGATATTTTTTAACTTTCATAATATTTTTTTTATCTCATTTGCATCTTTTTTGTTCTAAAACAAGAAACTTCATCACAATGTGAAAGGAAATAAGTTTATCTTCTCAAGTGCAACTGGGCTAATTTCAACCAAACTTGCCACAAAGCATTCTAGGATAAATTTTGTTCAATTAAAGGGTCACACCCTCTTTTGGGCTGGATAGTTAAGAAATGGTAAAAATTTGATTGCATTATTTAAAATGTCCTCAAAAATAATTAGGCCAAAAAAACATGGGTGAATATTAATACTTTCTCATTTAGCATAAATTCAGGCAAAAGGGGGTCAAAATTATTATATAAGAAAGGATGACTGCACTTAAGGACATGCGAAATTTGCGACAAAATAAACTTTCAAAACAAGCATTTTTCTTTTCATTGCAAGAATGGTCAACATCCAATCTACAACTTTATGTAATTACGTTTAATAAAAGTGTGTATTTACGAAGTTCGAATGTGTTATCAAGGGTAGGGGTCATCACAATTTCTTGAATCTCCGTTGGATAATGAGGACGCAGACTTTTTTACCGACTTCATACATAGTCAGCGCATGTTTGTCTATTGTTCTACGTTTAACAGTAGTTGTATATTTGCATAAATAATAATGTGTCAAAAGGAGATTATTAGACAAACATGCGCTCATGGTTAAAAATAGAAAAAAAAACTGCTTCTTCTTACATTTGCTCTCTGTGTTGTAACCAAGGGTTGTGACATGTTGAATATTATAATTCACCACGTGATTTCTTACCTCAGGTAACTTTGTGAATATTAAATTCCGTCACGTGACTTGTAAGGTAGCATGTTTTGTGCTAACTGGGACTTGTTTTCGAACACGTTAAGTCATCTGCATTGATATAAAATCTGCTCTAATTACATGGACGTGCTCATATTGTTAATTTCGTTTTGAAACCTTTGTCAGTAGTGTATTTGTGCCATACAGAATGGAGAGGGAGATGGGAAAGAGTGAACACATTCCTTATTTCAAATATGTCATTGTTATTTATCTAGTCTAATTTTAGACCCATTCTTACAATGTTAGCTCCACCTCTCATGCATATCTAATGTTCAATCAAGGGCAGGTAAGTGTAAATTCTCTATATTTTGAAAGCACTAAGGACAAAAAGCATTGAATCATTTTATTGTATCACAGTCCAAAATTATTTTAAGATTTAAATTTGATTCCAAATTGACAGGATTCTTTCATAAATATACAAAAGTGAAATAGGGTTTAGCAATAAATGCAACAGAAGCAACCGAAAAAGACCCAAAAACCGGCGTTAAGTGCAGTCATCCTTTCTTTTCAAAATCTTTTCCAAAAAAAAAACAACAAAAAAAACAAAAAAAAAAACAGAGCCATGATAGGTCATATTGATAAGCAAACATCCTTGGTTAGTGTGGATTTAAATTTGATCAAATCATGCCCCCCATGTGGTGGGGCCACCATGGTCACCATCCATCGTGTGGTGGGGCCACAATAGGGGATCAAAGTTTTATATTAGAACATATAAAAAAAATCACTTCAAAATTCAAGAAGCAAGGCTATGATTAATGATATTTTAGAATGTGCTAGCATCCATAACTATATAGGTAGTCAAATCATGCCCCCCTCCCCAGCAAGGGTGGACCACAACAGGGGATCAAGGTTTTTCATAGGAACACATGGCGAAAAT